TATAAATTATATTTGATGTGTTCATATCTAATAAACATGCATGTCATGACTGTATAGATGCATAGAATCTGGTACACCCTAGCACTCTATTGAGTCACAGATTTGAAATTGCAAGCTGACCTATTTGCGTTTTCCAATAGACCATTTTCCGTTCACTGCAAGAATCACGCGTTTTGAGTGAAATTGAACGTAAAAACAGGACAAACAAATGTCATAGTGTTGTAGTGGCATCTAACATCGCGCGGGATTCGACAAACGAGAAAGTATTTTGGGGGACATTTCCATGCTTTAATAATGTGCTGTCCACATTTGATGATAGGCAATTTTGATTAAGTGAGGGTATTCAAAAGCAATAATTACCTGTCAAAGATCGGCCGGTCGATGTGAGCTACGAAATAAAGAAATTCGAGTTCAAAATCAAATTGTTTGATTTTTGCTGCAGACGTTTGAGGCGTGTCTTTCATGCAACTTGCTAGATCTCGCAGTTGAGCGGAAAATCACCTATTGATCTGCGTTAAATTATGTCACTGAGCATTATGTAATATAATTAAATTATTCAATAAATAAGTAAACAAAAACTAGAAGAGCAACAGATGTATTTTTAACAGTTGTTGAAATAATTTAGTAAAGACTTTGTTCAGGCAAGATGCTCCCCTGTGATTCACATCAAATCACCCAAAATCCAAAGGGAAGTAAGCACAGTTGGGATAGAAATAACTCCTGTTATCGTTTGTCTACGTTGTCCATGCATGCACACTTGAACAGTTCCATGTGCTGTACGATGTTTATGTCAGTTCTACATGCAGTATAATTTTGTAATCATAACAGACTGTATATAATTTAATTGCAGGCTGCATGGTCATTGAAAACAAGGGCTCTAACAGAGCAGGTATATGTAGATGAAGTAGAGGTTGATGAAGAAGGAATTGCAGAAATGTTAATGGATGACAACACCATAGCACAAATTGCACGTGAGAAGATAAAATTGATATTTTATTTGAATATAATGTAATTACGGTATAGCTGTACTTCGAATACAAAAGATGATATATAACAATATGACTTTGTATATCTTGATTTCATCTTCTTTATCATGATAGGACCAGGCACATCGCTCAAGTTACCAGGCACAGGACAGGGAGCACCAAGTGCAGGTGTTAGGCCAACAACACAGGGTGGACGACCTCTTAGTGGTTTCGCTAGACCAGGCACTCAAGGCCGACCTGGTACCATGGAACAAGCACTGAGAACACCTCGAACTGCACATACTGCTAGACCAGTGACCAGTGCATCAGGTCGATTTGTTAGACTTGGAACGGTGAGTTGCCGATTGCACCACTATCATATGTGCAATTATTTTATTGTGTTTATTAATTGAAGCATAGTTTTAAACTTTATGCTCATAAAAAAGCTGGAGATCACTGTGGCTATAAAATTATATGAATGAAGGATGTTATATGTAATTGTAGAAAGTTGAATGTGTTCTAAGATAGTGTTTATTTAAAGGAGGTATGTAAGAGATGTGAAAAACACGAAGGGCGGATGCCAAGTGCGGAGCACACTTTTAGAAAGGGGACAAGGGCAAACGAGAAAATAATAGAGCACAGATCCACATACTATGTAGGTCGGACACGCTAATACAATACTGTGCAGATGGTAAGAAAAATTCAGAAGACTGACTTGCAAATAAAAAGTGCTCAAAAACACTATGAGTCGATGACAAAATTAAAATAATTAAAACTAGGCTTTTACTGACTTGAAAAACAGCCCTTTAAAAGCTCAGACTGGCGCCAAAATTAAAAGCAGGAACTGACTGACTGACTTGCAAAATTAAATAAAACGATCGTTTTTTCTCATATTTTGCGTTTTTGTCTGGCCATTTCAGGGCTAGCCATAAGCTGTGGTTCATAGCTCTCTTAGTTGGCGATTGTCATTTTCATTTGGCGTACATTGCCGGCCCGAGAGTGTGACAAAATAATATGGCCCCAACAAGTAAGTTTAAAATTAGTTGTCTGTCACTGCAGTGAGCGACAAAACAGTAGCTGGGCATGACAGTGCTTGATTTTATTTATTTTCAATTCTGTCATTTACTTCTCATCAGTCATAGCCTACTTTAATTATTTCAATTTATCATTGACTTGTAGTCTGTGTTATTGAACGGTAATTTTGCAAATCAGTCAGCTACTGAGTTTAACATCTTGGGCTAACTATTGTTTTCACCATCCACACGCTATTGTATCAGTGCGTCCAAACTCCATGGTTTATGGATCCGCACTCTATTGTATTCTCGTCTGTTCTCGGTCCTTTTCTAAAAGTGCGCTTTGCATCCACCCTTTAGAAAATAGAAAATATTTATGATATAGTGGGACAGTGTGTGATATGTGTTTGATTTACAATATCAGCTAATCATCTGGTGTTTATAGAAGTGTTTTAATTCTATGCAGGCATCAATGTTATCCAATCCAGATGGGCCTTTTATCAATTTACCAAGGCTGAATTTTACAAAATATGCTCAGAGGCAAACTCTAGCCAAGGTGGGTGTGTAGTTCTTTGATGTAATTTTAAACTTCCCATAATGACTTGTACACCATATAATATAACTGTGACAATTAATGTGCTGTTTAAGCCACTAACCAAAAAGTCTGTTGCTAATACCCATTTATGTTCTATTTGCTATATATGTCATATTTTCTAAATTACATCACATATAGGAAAGCTTTGTTTCAGTTTATTTTTTTACTAGCAAATATTGTAACCCGTGTAGATTCAGATCAACAGGAGTACACATGTTAGGAACTAATCTTTTTTGTTTCCTTTGAAAGGCTCTGTTTGAGTACATATTTCATCATGAAAATGATGTGAGAAACGCCCTGGAATTGGCTTCATTGGCTACTGAAGCCTGTCAGTTTAAAGACTGGTGGTGGAAAGTCCAGCTAGGAAAATGTTATTACAGGTAGGTAGTGTACATCAAATTACCTGGTACTTGGATGGTGGTGCTTTATTTTTTCCAATATTATTACCTTGATTGATTGTGGATAGGATAGGAGATTCTATGTGGATCATACACAGTACATTGCTTAAATTATAGTCCAATAGAAATATATGAATGAATAACTAAAATAGTCATCACTCTTTGTCTGCATTTACCATATTTACACCACACTGTATTAGAAGTAAATATAAACCAACAATCTCCTTTATTGTATACTGTTTCATTAAAATATTACTGATAGTTCTCATACCCCTGTGAGTATGTTAACAGGAATAAAGGGCTACTTTTGGCGCCGAAGTCTGTCAAATGTCTTGCCTGGCCGAGGCTCTAAAAGTGGCTGTTAATTTCCACTATAACGCATGAGTAGGGGTACAATAATGAAGTTATAATTTTAGTTTTAGATGTGTCTTTTTGTACAACACCATTGTGGGTTGTGTGTACAAGTGTTAATTAACTTGTTTTGTGTAGAAGGACAACAAGTGAATGATGAGACCAATGACCTGTACAGTGGTATTGCACCTGATAAACCTACATAATGCTTTCCATCATAAATCATCTGCTTAACTGATTCTGTAGAATGACTATGCATTCACACAGCTCGTCAATCTTGAAATGGTTTATTCAAATTGATTGCTCAAACAAGTGTCCCATTTTTAAATTGTGAAGGCAAAGTTCTTTTCTTTATTTGGATCTTGGAGTATATAACTAAATAAACCTTATTCTTGGGGCAGAGCTACACCACAGAATGCTGTACATTTCTATGACGTGCACCACTGTACATTTATTTTTATTGGCTCCGTGCGAGCTACTATGGAACACCCTGTCAGGAAGGAGATGATGAAAAAGATAAAGTCAAGAAAAAGCTCAATAAGACAACTATAAGACAATCCTGATCAACCAAATTTGTATATGTTGCATGTGTAGGGGTAATCTTGTTACACTGTTCAAGAGAGTCTCGAAAACTAGCCCAAAGTTTTCGACCACCACTGCCAGGCACTGAAAATGCCAGGATGTTTGCTCCAGAGAATAAAAAACGTGAGGTGCTGGAGTCCATGATGGAAATGCCTGAAAACCATTGGGAGTATTATACTATAAAGGAAATAATGAAAATAATAAAAGTTTGGTGCCTATACAATGTCACAATGGGACAATATATCCCTTGTTTGTTGGTTTGAAAATCCCTGTTAATGTATCATAATTCAACATGAACAGTACTGGTATTAATACTTGTCATCTTTAACTCTCAGATTGGGTTTATATAGAGAAGCAGAGCAGCAATTCAAATCGGCATTAAAACATCAGGATATGGTTGACATATATTTGTACTTATGTAAAGTTTACACCAGGATAGATCAACCACTTACTGCAGTGGAGATTTATAAACAAGCACTAGAGAAGTTCCCAGGTGAAACAGCAGTGCTAACTGGTATTGCAAGAATATATGAGGTAAGCTCAAGAGAGCATAATGTAATCCAAGTTACATCTCTTGTGATTTGGGGTTATTGCATTCACAAGACACTAACAACACTATTATTTCAATAGTAATTTTTGGTGGGGTTCCACATGTGAATAGTGAGGGGGGGGGGGGGTAGTTACATAGAAGGAAACTACCGGGGGTACTTATAGATCTCATAAAATCATTTGATCATTATTTCAATCTTTTATTAAAGTTGTGTGCAACTGTAATTTAATATAATATTCAATTCACATCACATATGTTTGTAATTCCAGTAATTTATGCACGTTGGATGTTTAAAAAGGGAAATACAATTTTATCTATGCTCATCACAGATTAACTATTTGCTGATTAAGAATAGATTAAAACAGTCATTTAATGGACTTACGAGAAATAAAATATAACAATTACTGCATCGGTTGATTTCTACAGTTTCCAGTGACTATAAACTTACAATCTGCATTCTTTTCAGGGACTTAATGACTTGCCGAATGCTACCAAGTTCTACAAGGAGGTTTTACACTATGATAATACCCATGTTGAAGCTATAGCTTGTATTGCAACTAATTATTTTTATTCAGACCAGCCAGAAATAGCACTTAAATTTTATAGGTATGACCTTTCACATCAACAGAATGATTATTAGTCCCCGTTCGGACGAAGTCCAAAAACGGGGACTTATAATTCGGTCTCCGTCTGTTCGTGCGTCCGTGTGTCCGTCCGTCCGTCCGGAGTCATATCTCAGAATCCCTTGGATCGATTCCGTTCATTCTTTGCATGTGCCTTGTACTTTATGTAGGACATATGCACATGCAGTGGTTTAGCGATTTGATTCAAAATGGCCGACTGGCAGCCATCTTGTTTTTTGAAAATGTTGTATTTTGGACATGCTTTGTCAGTTTTCATTCAAACTTGGTACATAGATTATACATGTTAGGATACATGTCCATGATGATTTATTTCACAATTGGATCAAAGATGGCCGACTGGCAGCCATCTTGTTTTTTGAAAATGTCCTATTTTGGACATGCTTTGTCAGTTTTCATTCAAATCTAGTACATAGATCATACATGTTAGGATACATGTCCCCGACCGTCCGTGAGTTCTTAAGTCTGTCCGTCCGACCGTCTGTGTCCGTCTGTCCGTGCGTTAGTCTATCCAACGTCATATTTCAGAATCCTGTGGACCGATTCCGTTCATTCTTTGCATGTGCCTGGTACCATTATGTGGGACATATGCACATGCAGTGGTTTAGCGATTCGATTCAAAATGGCCGACTGGCAGCCATCTTGTTTTTTTGAAAATGTGGTATTTTGGACATGCTTTGTCAGTTGTCATTCAAACTTGGTACATAGATTATACATGTTAGGATACATGTCCATGACGATTTATTTCGCAATTGGATCAAAGATGGTCGACTGGCAGGC